GCCAGGCTGGTCTTGGACTCCTGACCTCAAGTGATTCACCTGCCAAGGCTTCCCAAAGTGCTGGGATTACAGGTGTGAGCCACCATGTCCAGCCTCTGATTGTTTAATTTCCATTTATTTGTACAGATTTGAGGGTTCCTTTTGAAACTGATTTCTGGTTTTATTCCACTGTGACCTCAGAATATACTTGATATTTGTCCAGTTTAAAAAACCTATTATGAATTATTTTGTGGACTATAATTTGGTCTGTCTTAATGAATGCTCTGTGTGATAATGATAAGCCAGGTTCATTTTTGTTAGGTCCATTTTTTTTTTCTAGAGTACAGTTTAAGTTCAGTATTTCTTTGTTAATTTTCTGCCTCAATGATCTGCCAAGTGGCGTCAGTGAAGTGTTGAAGTCTTTCAGTGTTTTTATTTTGCTATCTCTTTTTTAGGTCTACCAGTAATTGTTTTATGAATCTAGGAGCTCCAAATAAATATAAAGCACCTTTATATTTGGGATTGTTTTGTCTTCTTGTTGAATTGATTATTTTCTCCATATGTAATGACTCTTCTTTGCCTTTTAAATAGTTGTTACTTTAAAGTCTGTTGTATCCGATATAAAAATAGATACGCCTGCTTACTTTTGTTTTCCATTGTCATGAAACAGTATTTTCATCCCTTTACCTTGAGTCTGTAAGAATCTTTGTGTTAGATGTGTCTCCTGAAGACAGCAGACATTTGTTTTATTTTTAATCTTTTTATTCATCTGCCAATTTGTATCTTTTTACTGGAGCATTTAGACTGTTTACATTCAACATTAATATTGACATGCGAGGTACTGTTCTAGTCATCATGTTGATTTTTACCTAGTGCCTTTGTTTTATTCATTATGTTATCTTTCTAAATGCCTATGACTTTTATGCTTCCAGGAGTTTATATTCCAGTGTATATTAACTTTTGTTTCAAGTTTTAGAACTCCATTTAGCATTTCTTGTAGGACTGGTCTAATATTGACAAATTAACTTTGCATTTGCTTGTCTAAGAAAGACTATTTCTCCTGCAATTATGAAACAATTTTACTGGATACAAAATTCTTGGCTGTCAGTTCTTCTGTTTAAGAAGGAGACTAAAGATAGGCCCCAGTCTTTTCTGGCTTGCAAAAATTCTGATGAGAAGTCTTCTGTTTGTCTTATAGGTTTTTATTTACAGATTAACTGATGGTTTTGTCTCAATGCTGATATAGTTGTCTCCTTTCTGTTAAGTAGATAGCATTACTATATGCCTTGGTGATTTCTTTTTTGCAATGAGTCTCCCCTGATTTATTTGAGCTTCTTGTATTTGGATGACTAATTCCAGCAAGGTAAGGGAAATTTTCCTCAGTTATTTCCTCAAATAGATTTTTCAAAATCTGGGTTTTTTTTCTCTCTCAGGAACACTTATGATTCTTAGATTTGTCTGTTTTATGTAATTTTATATTTCTAGGAGACTTGGCACATTCCTTTTAATTTTTTCTTAACTTTTGTATGATTGAGTTAATTCAAAATATTCAAAAATTGATTTCCGCTCTGAAATTCTTTTTTCTCCTTGGTATAGTCTATTATTACAAATTTCTAATGCATTTTACCTTATTCTAAATGTGTCTTTTTCTTTCCATAAGTTTTAATTGGATTGTCTTTAAAATTTCTATACCTTCATAAAATTTTTTATTAATATCCTGAATTGTTTTTAAAATTTTTAAATGTTGTTTGTTTCCACCTTTCTTTTGTATCTTCTTGAGCAACCTAATACAATTTTGAATTCCTTTTCTGATATTTCAAAAATTCATCTTGGTTTGTATCTACTTTTGGAGTTAGTGTGATCTTTTGGGTCTTATAGAATTCTGTTCTTTTTTTTTTTTCATATTACCAGAATTATTTTTCTGGTTTCTTCTCATTTGGATTGAATGATTCTTCTAATTATTTTTAAATTTATTTTTATTTTGACTGATTTTTATTTATTTTTTTCTTTTATAGAGTATGACTTTATAGTTTATTGTCACTTAGCTTTGGCTCTAGTTGATTACAGAGACAGATTCTGTATTTGTTCTTTGTTTATGGCGAATCTTTGAGCAACAGCTTTCTCAGATGGTAGTTATGGTAGCAATGTGCTGGGTGTGTGAGCAGGTTCATTCTCATGTGCCACTGGAATAGAAGAAGTCTCGTGATGCTTATCACATTATCAAGTGGTGTGTTATTAAAAAAAAAAAAAAAAAAAGCCCATGTATCATCCATAGGGTGAAACAGTTCAGCCTTCAAGAAAGTAGGAGATATCCGCAAGTAAAACCTGCCTATAGCTAAAGCAGATGGATAAATGCAAAATATGAATGGTGGGTCAATGTCCTGGTTTTGACAGTGGAAATCGGGGAAGATCTCAGTAAAACGAACAGAAGACTTTTTAGGGGGAAGGGAGGGAGTTGCCACAGCCTTTCTTCCAGGCCAGCTGGACAGTAATCCACCTTCCAGTCACTTTCCTGACCCAGTGTTTCAGCTATGGTTTTCCATGTAGAGAGGGATTTTGACTCTACCTCTTGTGCAAGAGAGAACCTGGAGTGCACTCCTCCTGTGGGGATGCAGTCGCCCTGAAATGTTCCAGAAAGGCTGTCTGCAGATGTACCTATGCTTAGCTTCCATCTGAGAAGCCCCATTTGTGTCCATAGTAGTGGGTAAGGAGGAAAAAAGTAGTACCCTTCCCCAAGACCCTTCATGAGCACCAGGGCTGCCTGACTGCTGGGTTAGATCTGCAGAATTTCTCCACTGAGCCCAGAACTGCCCTTGTGCCTATGGGAAGAAACTTCCCACAAGTGGAAAGTTCAGGGCCTCAAAGATGACAGTCTGGCCTCTTTTGTCCCACTGGATTTTCCCTTAATGTGATATACACCTTCTTTTCCTAAGAGCAGCAATCCTGAGGACCAGAGTATTGTGAATGCTGCTGCTCCTCTCGGTGCAGCTACCTAGTAGAGCTGCCACAGTCCAGGCTGGTTTTGGAGAATGTCTGCAAGGGATCTAGTTATTTAGCTTGTCCTCTAGTCTCCTAGAATGGGTACCAGCAGCAGCTCTGTTGAGGCTGGGAGGGAAATGATGTAGACTCTGTGAGATTTCCTTGGTTATAAGTAGCCTTATGTGTTGGCTTTCTTAAATGCCAGCTTTAATAATAATGTACTGGGCACATGGCCAAACTCAAGACTTCCTGATTATCCAGTATGATGCAGGCAATTCTGATAGCTGAGGCCGTGAAAAAGCTTTCTAACTCTTGAACTTGACCTTCAGCCAGGAGGTGGTACAGAGGAGTTTCAGCTACAATGGCAGTGGTGGGATTTGTGTTTTCCTTATGTTACCCAAGGGAGGTACTCTGGTGTTTTAGGCAATGCCTGGAGCCAGGGAGTTCCCAAAAGTCTCTAGCCATTGTGTTATGCTACTAGGGTGTAGAGAGGGAAAAAGCCAAGATGAGGCTGAGTCAGACAAGTCCACATTCTTGTTCCCTATGTTTGGATACAAACAGCTGCCCCAATAAGAATCAGATGGAAGTTCCCTGGCCACTGGAGTAGTGTTCTAGGGTAGAATGCAGCTGTCTCTGCTCCACAAAAGAATCCACACAGGGAGCAGAGAGTAGCAGGTGTAAGACCCACTCAACCTCCATGCACATGGCAAGGCAGGTTTCACATCCACATTTTTTGGCTAGCAGCAGCTAGCTGGCAAACAGGCAGCCTCCACTTAGAACTCAAAACTGCCCCAGGCCATAAACCTCCACGAAGTCAAAAGCAATGGCTTCCAGGTCATGCCCCTCTCAGTCCAACCAGGAAGCAAGGGTACTCAGCTTCTGCTCCTGTGGCTATAGAACACTTCCCATTAACCCCTTGGTTCTGGCCAAGAGGATTTATCCCCACTCAAAAATATACCACAAATTTCAATTGAGAACGCCTCTCAACCTGTGACCACAGCCTGATTTAGCTGGCAGACTTCCACAAGGTCCTTTGTGAGGTAAGATCAGGAGTGACTTTTCTCCATCGCTGCTGGAATCTTGGAGTACATGCAAAGCATGTCTTGATGCTGCTCCATATACTTCACGCTGCTCAATAAATCAGCCCTAGTACTGGGTAGGGCTAAAGCATTACACCATGGCCTGGGTTACCTGGCCTCTCTATGAGATTGTGTGTCATGAAGGGGATCTCTCCCACTTCGACGCTCTGCAAATTCATAGCTTTCTGCATGGTTTATGGTGTATGCTCCTGCCTGCTGCTTTCGGCAAAGGGTCTGTGGTTTCTTTCAGTTTTTCTGTTAAGTTCTTGTGTTGCTTCTTGAAAAAACGTTCATAACATGTATCTCTACACACCATTTTATCTTCCCAAGTGGGAGAGGCATGCTAATAATGCCTCCAATCCATTGTCTTGGAAATCAAATCTCCTTTGTGTTTTTGAAAAGGCATGAATGTTCAACAGATAGGTATCAAGATTATTGGCTAGGATAAATCTTGGTAATGCATTGAACTGGAACATTTTTTGTTTGTTTAAACACATTTATTGTGAAGTATAATGCATATATGAAAACTGTATAAAATATCTGTATAGTTTAGCATTTGATTATAAAATGAACATCCAGTAACCATAACTAAGTTCAGGAAGTTTTTATCTCCATTAAAGATTGACTTCTGTTTTTTTGGTGAAAATTGTTTCTTTACTTTCTTTATAGTTTTGCTACCAATTCACACATCTTTGAATACTATACTTACCATTCCCTGTGTTAAAATGAAAACTTTCAACAAGTTAAATTAAGCAGAATTTATTTGAGCAAAGAATAATTCATGAATTGGGCATCACTCTGAACCAGGAGAGGCTCAGAAAATGTCCAACAACATCGGCAGGCAATATTTATAGACATAAAAAGGGGGTTACAAACAGAAACAGATTGATTGATTACAACTTGACATTTGCCTTATTTAAGCATGATATAAGAAGATCTTTGATTTTTAGGTACATGATCTGATCAGTTGGTAGCCTGTGATTGGCTGAAGTTTGGCTGTTATGATTGGCTGGGACTTAGCTACTCCTTACTAGAATATATCCTTAAATTAAGTTGCAGTTTGTTTATATATGAAGTTAGGCTGCAGTTTGCTGCGTAGGATTTCAAAGTACCTAGACCACCTTGGACCAAATTTAGTCTATTTTAAGACATCTTTTTGGCAAGTGTTTTAAATCTTTGACATATTTGACAAGCTTCCCAAAGTCAGATTTCAACTACAAAATTAAGTCTTCTGTTTTTTTTAATCATAAACTTCAAAATGTTACAGAGGGCCTCTGCAGAATCCAATAGGGAAATAAAAAGTATTATTTGATACATTAAATTACTTATATTTTAAAGTAAGAAAAATGTTTAACCTTCATTGAGATGTATTGTATTGAATATGTTATTAATATGTGTTCCAAAATTGTATATGATTCCTAAAATTATGATGTCTCGGTACATGTTATCAGTTGTGATTATTTATGTTAAATATTTATAGGCCACAAAATAACAAAATTTTCTTGGCATTTGTGTCTTTATGCTTATTTTAAGTTGTTTTCACAGTTAATCATCACTTAATTCTGATGTAGTTTTTGAAAACTTCACAAGCAAGTAAAATCCTAGAGTTTTGTGTTTTCAGTGATGTTGATGAAAGGGTGGAAAGGACACTGAAAAATACTCTTGAATACAACATTCTGATAACTTTAGGATTATATCATTTGGACTGAGTAACAATTCCCCGAACTCTAATAAAAAAAATGACTCGTTTGTAATACTGTTAATGCCAGCAGAACAAAAATTAACTGAATACCAAGTAAATACTTTGCTAGATTTTTATGGTAAATCTACCAGTACTGAAAATATTTGGATATTTAGTTTTAATAAACTTCACAATCCAAGTCAAATTATCTATGATAACCCATCTGATAAACAGTGTACACCTAAATTGGAGAAACAAAATTTGTATTTAAGATGTAAGTCCTATATTAAATGTCGACTCACAGAGAAACTGGATGACTCTGTGTGGTCTTTTTTGAGCCCTTAAAGCTTTCATTATTAAAAGCTCTGCATTCCATGACTAATTATGAAAGAGATAAGACACTTCAAATTAAATACATATATTTTTAGAAGTCAGTATATACATCTAAACATATATGTATTTAATTTGAATCATCTCTTTCATAGCATATGTATATAGTGACTTCTAAATTGCTAAAGTAGTTTTTGACCATTGTTTGGTTTGTCAAACCCATAATCCTGGGAGAAAAATCAAACTTCAGGTACATCTCTGATACTTGATGACTCATGTACACATATATAGAGGGATTTCTTTCCATTGTAATTTTCGATGCATTTTTCTGTTTATATAAAAGCTTTCCCTCACAAGAGGGCTGATGTTATAATGATAGCCGAAACATTATTAGGAAATGTGCTTTCCTCATGGGATGTTCCTGAAGAAATATCTAGTGACAGAAGTACTTGCTTCACTAGAAATGTTGTAAAACAATTAAATAAGGTATTGCAGTTGCAATAGCATTAAGCAAAGCTAACTGAATTAACTGGATTGCCTTCACCAGAGGTTCACTTCCTATGGAAAAGCAAGTAGATATCTTGTTAAATAGTCACTGGAAGGTCTCTGTACCTAATAGTAGAAACTTACGTATCTTCTAAGCTCTGATATAACTAAATGTTACAGGTCATTAATGCAATGTGCCAAAGTATATTTTCACCAGGTAAAGAAAGCTTTTCATGGTCCACTGACTGAGCACATTCAAACCCTTCACAATCTAGAACCCAGATATTAGGTCTTCTGAGAATGACATCAGAGAAAGACTGATCTTGCCATTCACACTGCAGCCAAACTTCAGGACCTTGAAACTTGGGATTGGTAGCTCACAACTCAGAAGGACCCTTCCTAACACTTGAAACTGTATGTTCACTGGAGATCTTAAGGTAAAGGAAACCAGGGAAGTTTCTCCCTAGAAACAGGTGGCATCTTAGATGTGGTCTGGTTTTATCCCAAGATTACAAATTAATACTTCTCTGCTATCATAAAAATCTTATTTCTCATTATTTTCCCTTGCTTCTCATTATTTTCCCTTGCTTATGCCTCTACAAATGATAGAACTGAAAATGAGGTCCCTCTTGTTCATTCATAAGGCATAGTTTTATTTGTGCAGGGTTTTGTAGCCAATCTTATACATGGACAGCCATATGCCTTGATAGCTAAAATACGAAGGGCCAATGTGGATGTGAAATGATAGCTTTGTTGCTTTATAATCAGTCAGAAATATAACATTGGTCTGCTCCTCTTAACTTACATCAGAGACTAAAGAGAACATTTTCAGAAGGCCTTTAGATTTCTGGATGGGCATCCTTTGTTAGGCCTCTTTTTTCATGGATTAGAGGAAATAAAACAATGATTAGAAACGTATCCCTCATAATAAGTTGTGTAGCAGATTATACTGTAAAAGCTATGATCACACAACATATTTTAAATTCTATTGCTAAACTTGTGCTAAATAATACAATTGTTCTGGTTTACTTAATGGCTAAACAGAAAAGTGGCTGTGCAGTTATTGATACTTCTAGTTGCACATGGAGGAATACGTCAAGTATTTTAGAGGTTCGGTTACAGGGGATCAATGAAGAGGCTGCTTGATTAAAATAAGTGTATTCTATGTAGTTCATTCTTTGATCTACTTGATTTTAGTTGATTTGGTTCGAGGAGATCCAGGGTAGTGTGCATGCTCCAAACTCTTGGTATTATCTTCCTGATAGCCTTGTGTGCTTTATTCGTACAAACGTTTTAAACATTTGCAGGCAGTCATCTCTAGAATGTCAAGGTTTCTCTTTGACTGTAACGACATAAATTGAAAAAAGATGTGTGACCTTGAGGACACCATAACTCATCAATGACGTGCCGAGGCCAGGAACCCAAAATGATAGTAACTGAGTGACACTAAGGTCCTGCGTTTTGGTTACACTATCACCTAAATGAGAACCTTACCAAAAATGAAGAATTTTTAAACAAAATTATGGGAAGCCATTGTTTTGAACTGAGCTCATCTACTAGACCTCAGCACACTAAACCAAACAAAAATAGTCATTCATGCTAAATGTGATATAATCAAACTAAAACTTTACAAAACAGATTAATCCTAAAACAGACTAGGTTTTGTTTTTCTCCTGTAAATAACAGATGACAACACAACAGATCACCTCTTTTCTAAACCTTTAAAACGAATCAGCCAAAGTCTTTGTCCCTACCTTACAAAAGCCACTGTTTTGCTACTTCCCATTGGGATTTGAGTACAAATAAGTACAATTATATTGGTGACAGAGTGACATCAATGCTTAAAGTTTTGGTCTATCAAAACTAAGAGGATAATAAAAAAAGGGGGAATTGTTAAAGTAAGTTTAGCCTAAAGCTGCCTCACAATGACGGCCAACTGTTCAAACCAGTTTCAAATAAGGCCAACACTGAGCGCTACTCATTCTGGTTGTTTCCATTTTCTATACATCATTTTTCATTTTCTGTCCATACATCTCCTTCTACCATGTGGCTGCACTAAAGTCTCTCTGAGACTATTCTGATTTGGGAGGCTGCCTGATATACGAATCTTTCTTTGCTTAATTAAACTGTTAAAATTTTTTAAACGACATATTTTGGGGCTTTTTTATATACTATTGAATATATATGTTCTCTTGAGCCTAGCCTCTTTTGCATAATATCATGTTTGTAAAATTTATTACTGTTGCTGTGTGTAGTTGTGTTGCCTTCATTTTTATTGCTTCATAGTGTGATGTTTATACGAATATACTATAATTCTACAATTATACACTTCTTGATGGCTATGTGGGTTTTTTTTCTGTTGGGGCTGTTATAAATGATGCTGCATATATTTTCTCACACAAAAGGAGTAGTGAAATTGCTGGGTAGTAGGATATGATTTCCCTCAATTTATTAGGTAATTTCCAAATTATTCTCTAATGTGATCTTACAGGCTGATACTCTCCCCAGCAGAATATGAAGTTCCATATCTTAAAGTGATTGCTTTCAATATTTCACCATTAAGAATGCTACATTATAGATTTTTAGATGATTCTTATTGGATTAAATAAATTCACCTTTTTAATAGCACTCTACCTGTTTTTAATCAGAATGGATGAGAATATTTAAAGCACAGGTTAGCAAATTTAGACATTTGAAATTTCATTATTCTAGTGGTGTTAATCACTCTGAGATGTTAATTTGTATTTTGTTGATCATGAATATGGTTGAACACTTCTTCATATGGTTATTGTTCATTTTGATTTTCTTCTTGTGAAGCCTCATATAAGTCGATTACCCATTTTTAAAAATTGGCATTGTTACCTGTTCTTTTTTTTTAATCTACACAGGTTTGTTGTATATTCTTGGTTATATGCACGGTAAATATCTGTGTTCACTCTGTGGCTTATATGTTAATGTTCTTTATGTTTTTTTGATAAATAGAAGTCTTTAATTTATTTTTATTTTTCAAACATTCTATATTGTCATAAAAATCTCCAACATTGTCTCTAAATAGCTTTGTTGTTTTTTTCATACAAATATTGGTGTTTAATGCACCTGGAATTGATGTTTGCATTTGGTGTATGGTATCCAATTATTTTTTACACTTTAATATTGTTCTGTCACCCTTTATTTAATTTTAAAAAGCCTTCTTATTACATCTTTTGCTCACTGCAACTTCTGTTCATAAATCAAGTTTCCATATGTATGTAAAAGTAACAATTCTTTGATTTCTTTTCTGTTCTATTGAGCTGTAGTGCCTGATAATTAACTCACCACATTAATTACTACAGCTTTGTAATAATCTTGATGATAAGTTTATATGGTTATTGATATCTGGCAGAGCTATTTTTACCCTCATGTTCTTTTACAACATTATTCTGACTATACTTGGCCTTTGAATTTTCACATAATTTTTAGAGTCAGCTTATCAAGCTATCCACAAGAAAAATGGTTGGAAATTTTACTGATACGAAATTAAATCCATAAATCAAATTTTTGATAGTTGGCCTTTACAATTCATGTCTTTAATTTATAAACATTATACTTCTCTCATTTATTTTGGTGTCCTTTAAATAACTAACAATAAAGTTTTAAAAGTTTTCTAATTTTCTGTTTTTTTTTTTCTAGCTATTTGATATTTTGGGATTATATAAAATACTAAAAATTTCTAATTTTTTTAAGAAAGACAAATAACTTTACATTGCCCTTGTATTTAGCACATATCAGAAATCCAATTTTCATCCTTAATTTATTTGTAGATTCATTTTTATTTTTGACTTATAAAATCATATATTCTGTGAATAATGATAGTTTTATTTTTTTCTGACCATATTACCTCTTATTAGTTTGTAGATATATTCATTTAACTACTTATTTATGACTTACTGAACTACCTAAGACATATGGTACACCATTAGTGTTGATTTGGAATGCAATGAATTACAAACCAGTCAAGTTAATAAAGCAGTCTATGTTTCAAATCACCAAATGTATGACTTATTTCATTCTTTAAGAACTCTTTGCTAGCCAAGAAGTGCTTTGCCTATTAACCTTTTTATTTTTACTGTTTTTAATTAGCCTTTCTCGATTATACTTGCACATGTCAATTTTTTAAATTGTTAGATATTAATGAAATTCCTGAAAAAAAATTGGGCTGTTTTTTACATGTATGCATTTTTAGAGTACACTTATATAGTCTATGTAGGTATCTGTGAAAGCAAATACATATATAGATACATAGTAACTACAAGCTACCATTAAGAGGAACAGAGCTTGGAAATTCCTTTAGGATGAAATGGTGGTAGTTATAAATGCCTTTCTGATCTAGGCACCAATCCTACATTAATGTATTAAGATAGAGGTAAGGAACAAAAAGCTTATTGTATAAGGATGTGATTTCAGAGAAGGTGGTACTATTTTTACAAGGGTCACATAAATTTAAAAATTGATTTGAGTACATATGTAAATTATTTAGGTAGTTGCCCCATCTTCTCCCTATTAGAAGAATTTTAAAGCAGTAGAGTTTTCTCATCCACACTTAATGTTAGGAAACTG